TAGAACTGGGTCTCTGTGTGTAATGCTATTAATACAGCTACGTCAATAGCTGTGTCTTGTGTTCCATAATCTAAGACTTTGCAACAACAGAGGTAAGCCACTTTTTTTAAAACAAAGATAGCATAGAAGTGAGCCAAACAAAGCTTTTTCTAAGCTTTTTCTAAGATAACAATAAAGTTGCAATAGTGTCACATATCTATATAGATACAATTTATAATAGTGCAGTGACACATCTTGCCCTCTAATTTTATTTATTTATTTATTTATTAGTTGTATTACTGCAGTACCTAGGAGTTTAGTTATGGACCAGGGTCCTGTTGTTGTAGAAACACCACAAATACCACAGAATGATCCCTATACATGGGGATCTTGGTAGGGTAGGCTGTAGGGCTGCGCGAAGCTTTGGTCCCTGATTCGATTCAGGAGAGATTTGGCCCATTTCGGTGGATGAATCTCCAAATAGAATCAAATCAGAGGACCCTTTAATCTCTCCAAATTGATTCGGAAAGATTCAGAGATTCAGACATAGACGCAGCTTTGAATGTTTTTTCTACATACCTTTAGGTGGCAGATGGCTCGTGAATCCCGTGATGCTGGGACGCATGGAGTGTCCTACAGAAGCGTGGGGGGCTCCCCAGAGCACTTGGCAGCAGACCTGGAAGTAGACCAGAAGCACTTCTGGGTCCACCGGGGGGTTCACTAGGGGGCCCTCCATACCTCCCTCGGCTTGATGACTGGTGCCTCCTGGGTCTGGGGGGGGCACCTGGGGTCCCCCCATGGCCGATCGCCAAGCCAGAGAATCACAGGCAAGCCCCCGCGTGCTCCCCAGTGGACCCAGAAGTGGACCAGAAGTACTTGGCTGCTGGGACAATGTAAACAAATATAAACAGGAACGTGTCTAAAACACAGAAGGGGCTGGTAATAGCAAAGGGTAAATTAATTATTCAAACTGATTTAGCAAATGGATTTAAATGTGCAGAGGCAACCTGGTCTATTGCAAGAAACAGCTGGCTGTAAGCCAATTTCCAGCCTGTCACTTACTTGCTAAGAGATGTTCAGCAAGTTACTTACTTTCCTTGTGTCTCAACTTTATTAGTAGTAAATGAGGAACTGTCTCATAGAGGTGTTGTTTGGTTAATGATGCACAGCTGTAAAGATAAGCACTGCAGCCTAGGTGCTGAATAACAAGTTCAGCCTGACCTGAAAATATCTCCAAGACAGACAGACACATGATTGAGACCCAGTCTACAAGAAGTCAAGTAGATTGTAAAATAGAAGATATTATCTCCAATTGGAGCAGAAGGAAGCAAGTGGATTCCATGTCTTGCCAGATCGGTTTCTGACTTGAGCGTCTTACTGTTTCAGTTGCAACTGTCTGAGGCTGAAGCGCTAGGTTTTCCCTGTAAAAAATTTGCAAGGCAACTATGCTTTGTGAATTTTAAAATTTCCAACATGTTTCAAAGCAGTGATCAAACTTTAACTTTTTAAAAATAGAATTTGACTAGCGAAGGCAGTGATAATATGTTGGCAGTATACATTGGGGTAATGTATGCTTCAGACCTTGTCCAGAAGAAGCTTGTTGTGGATTCATTACCTAAGTAGCAGTTGGACTGATAAACTATAAAGATCACTGTTAGTAAAAAACTAAGATTGGTCTGCATGATGTATTATAGCAATTTAGAAGAGCGCCACTGTCTCCTCCATAAATTTTTTCACTTAATATTGTTACAAAATTTTGTATGGTCTTATTAAACCATCTTAATTTTGACTCTATATAAGCTAGATTGCTTAGGGTTGGTCATTCATTGAAATGCTGGGCTTACAGTTCTCAATTTTTTTTTTTATGAAGTCAAATGATTCCTCACCACCTTTTAACATTGTTTTGTTCTCAATTTCCTCCCCCCTACCCCTCCACCCAGATGGACTGTAAGTTGTTTCTGACATGTCTGCAAGTAGGTACTTGGAAAAGAGAATGACCTTCTTGGTTGCATGTGTTTGTGTGATGTACCAGATCTTTCTATTCCAAGTGCAGCACTTCCTACTTGTCTTTACTGAACTTAATTTGATTCATTTTGAACCATTTCCCCAGTTTATCAAGGTCAACCTGATTCCTAATTCAATCTTCCAATATTTCTGCAACTCTACACAGCTTGATTTAATCTGTAAATTTGTTAACTGTCCCATCCTCTAAATCAGGTCTCACCAACTCCTGAGTGGTCGCACACTTGATGGATCACCCTCCCACCCTCTTTGCCATGCAGGGCCCCATGAGCTGCTCCACCCCCAGGATGGGGCCAGGAAACAGAAGCTGAAGAAAGAAGAGAGAATACAGAGATCCTGGTGACCAGTGGCAGCAGGAGCAATGGAAGGATCGATGCATCAGTGAGAGCTCACAGGCCATCAGTTAACTCACTGTGGGCTGCACGCAGCCAAAATTGCCATTTGGACCACCCTGGTTCAAATCTTTCAATGTAGTAAACAGTACTAGACTCAGAACATGCCCCTCTGAGCCCCACTTAGGATCTCCTACCAAATGGACAGGAAACAATTGAGGCTGCTGCTGTTTGAGTGTGATAATCCAACCAGTTATATATCCCCTTACTGTAGTTCAGTCTTGATCAGTATTTTCTTAGCTTACTAATGAGACTGTTATGGGAAACAATGGCAGAAGCCTTGCTAAAGTTAAGATAAATCGCATCTGCTCTCCCTCCATCCATGAACCCCATCACCTTGTAGAAGAAATAAGAGCATGACTTGCTCTTGCTGAATCCATATTGACTGTTCTTGATCACACTGTTATCATTTGGGTCAGTGATGCCCAATGTTTTTGGACTGCAGGCTGTATGAATGGGGTGGGACTGGTCCATGAGCCAGGTCAGGTGCATGGGATTGGTCTGTGGGCTGACCCATTGCATGGCCCCAGTCTCACATGTAGGATTGGTCATGCTGCTGCAGCTTCCAGAAACATGGCAATTAATGCAGCAACCACCACACCCCTGCTGCCAAATTTCTGGCTCCTTGGGGCACCCTGGAAGCCAGATGACACAGCTCCATGGGCTGGATCTGGCCCATGGGTTGGGAATCGAGCACCTCTGGTCTAGATGCTTAGAAATAGATTCCTTGATGACGTCCATCTTTCTGGGTTTTGAGGTTGCACTAACCGGTCTGTCATTCCCCAGTTCTTCCTTCTTCCTTTTTTAAAGAAGGGTACTGTCTTGCAGAATATAGTGCACTATCTTTGCCAAATTGTTTTAATCTTTCCCCAATATTAGTAGTATAGTGCTGTCCAGTTTGAAAAGTGCAGTACAGAAGTTAATTGTTCTTCAGCACTCCTCCAGTAACATCCCCATTTTGTTCAGGAAAAATACGAGGCAAGGAATCTGAATTGCTTTAAGATAGAAGTTAGTAAGTTTTATGGAAAGGGTAGTACAATAGGAAGTTCTTGGTTCAGCAGTCTGTGCATAGTATTTGGATTCAAGTATTTGTGGTCCATTCTGGGGTACCAAGAGAACTCTTTCACTGTGTGATAAGTGCTTGGTAACCCCACGCTTCATGGCTTTCTCTGGTTGTCTGCATGAGCAGAAAAGATTTTTTTCCCCCCTCATGAGCATTTTATTAGCTTCTAGGGATTTTGTTTGTTTGCTTCCCCTCCATCACCCCCTTCCTCTGAACTACTGGACATAGGCAATGGCTAAATTATGAGTTTTGACTAGGGTATACTCATGCTCATGCTCCTGCCAGTCCTAAACAACCTCCCAGATATCTGACTAGAGAGTCTTGGTCTTCTCATTATCAGACCTTTTGACAAATTTGAGATCAGGAAGGAATATTTCCCCCAGGTCTGAGAGATGAGGGCTGTGGAAGCTTTTGCCCTTCTTCTGTAGCACGTGGCGTGGTCTACTTCCTGTGATCTTCTGAACATATAGTTAGCAATTCTCTTCCGCTTCAGTGGCAGAGCATTGGCAGTGTTTAATTTCTCTTGCTTTTTACCTGTGGCATGTGGTAGCATGTTCCTCATGCTTCTGGTTTTGTGCATGGTGGTTGTGGTGTGCCAGTGTTCAAAGTGCACAATTTTTAGGTATCTTTGGGTAAATGGATGCCTACAAATGCAGAAAACTAGACCTCATGTTGCAAGAGGACCATTTGAGCCCTGTGTTCCCATGTTCTTAAGTGTCTTGCCAAAGGTCATAAAGTGTCATTTTACAAAGCAGAATTAGGACTTGTACTTCTCTGGCATCTAGCTGTCTTTCTCAATATGTGAAAATAAGTCCATGCTAACTTACCCACCCTATAAAACCACCAAAGAATTGACAGCCTCTGCTTAATGTAAATTAAAGATAAGAATAGCAGCATCTGGGAGTGTATTGGATCAGTAGTGAGGGACCTGCATGTTACCTTCTAATCTTACAATTTCCAGGAACCCAGAGTTCAAGAAGCACAGAAGTCTGACCATGTATTGCTATCTTTTGGGTCCTGGTGCTGGAATGAGCTGTCTGGTATTGAGACACTGCTTCCTTTTCAGTCCTGAGCCATCCAAGATATTTGCAAAGCCTGAAGTTTTGTAGCTCTATTATTGAAAGACCCTGATATGGTCAGACTAAAACTTTGCTCTGATACTAGAGTGTGAGTTGAGAGACTGATCCAGCATGAGCTGTTCTTGTACATCCCATTGGGTTTTGTAAACAATTAGTGTAGTAACTGCACTGCTCTTGAGACTTCAGCAGATGGCACCAAACTATAAATATATTAACTCTTTTTTTTCTTTCACCCATTCTACTTTGATGTGTAGTCCTAGTAAATATCTACATTTACCAAGTTCATAGAGCAGTAAATATGGACTGATATACAAACTGATGTAGTATGTATTGTGATGCTGACTGCCTTCTTGTTTGAGGGGTCATTCTTTCTTGTGCGAGCGGATATGAGCCTGATCTCCTGAAACTCACAGCTTTGAATCTTTTTCTGAACTGAACTTTCTTATTTTTGTCCCTTTCATTCAGTGCGTTTCCTGTAATAAATCATTCAAGAAGCTCTGGTCCCTCCATGAACATATCAAGATTGTCCACGGATATGCAGAAAAAAAATTCTCCTGTGAGATTTGTGAAAAGAAGTTCTACACCATGGCCCATGTGCGAAAGCACATGGTTGGTGAGTTCTTGCTGTTTTATGTTTATTCAGACTTCCACCTTGTCTTCCTGGTTCGTATATCTTAATCACTGTTTTTAATAAACAGCATAAAACACAGGTAACCCAGTGGCCTTAGCACAGGGATGGGCAAAGTCCAGCCTGCAGGCCGGATCTGGCTAGCAGTGGACTCCATTTCTCAGCAGCCCCTACCTGCGTGGCTGGGGCCAGTTTCCATGGAAATGAGCTGCAGCAGTGCTGGCAGGGTGGAGGGCTGGGGTCTTGCAGTGGTGACAGCATGGTCCAGAGCCAGGGCAGAGCCACAATCTGCAGCATGCTCCAGGCAGTGGATCATGGCTCTGCCCCAGCTCCTTGCAGAGGTGACAAGATGGTCCGGAGCCAAGGCAGAGCCACTATTCGCTGCCTCCACATCCTTGCCTGGAGCATGCAGGCTGCAGATCACGGCTCTGCTCTGGCTCTGGACCACGCTGTTACTGCTGCAAGATCCCAGCCCAGCCCCGGAGCAGCTCCCTGCCCTGCCAGCGCTGCTGGGGCCAGTCTCCATGGAAACCCTGGCCTCCATGCTATCACAGCATGGCTGCTGCTGGGGTCTCCATGAAAACCAGCCACACAGGCAGGGGCTGCTGGGAAATGTGTCCATCTGCTGGCTGGATCTGCCATTTTGCCCACCCCTGCCTTAGCATGATCAAGGATAGAGAGAAAAAACTAAAAGGGTACATTCGTAGTACTAGGAACACCAGATAATATTCACCACTAAAGAATCAATCTTTCTAGGATTCAAGATTGAGTGAAGTAATGTAGCATGTAGCATTCTTAATAACTTTTTCTTATATGAAATTGTTTTGCAGCACATACAAAGGACATGCCATTTACATGTGAAACCTGTGGAAAATCATTTAAACGCAGTATGTCACTTAAAGTGCATTCATTACAACATTCTGGAGAGAAACCTTTCAGATGTGAGGTGAGGCTGTTATTTTAATGAAAGGTCTTGATGTGGTAAAAGGCTTGTGCAACAAAGTATCACCACCAGTTTAGAGAGACAAATGGATATGGAAGTGTTTGAGGTGTGAATGTGGTGCAGTTCCATCAAGGCTTGAAACTAAGTCGCACTGTGGAGAGCAGAGCATGAGTACTCACAGCAGTAATGCATAACTGAAATGTTGGGTGAGTGGTACTTCTGCCTGTTCCTCCTGTCAGATTTTGAAGCACCCTTGATAGAAAGAATCGAGTCCCAGCCTCTACCACTGCCAACAGCAAAGTAACATTAAATCTCATTTATTTTACTGTTGTTTGAAACAAATATAAGCTGGAACAGCGAAAATAACCACAGACTACTTACTGTATGAGGTTTGCTTCCAGAGAAAGCTATGGAAGCAAAGAAAAGTTATTAATCTGAACGCTTTGAGGGGAAAAGCAAGAAGCTCTCAGTTTGTCTTGAAGCCAGGAATAAATGGGAGTGAGAGGAGGTATTTTAGACGTCTTATCCAGATATTTTGTTTTATACCTTAGGAGCAATAAAAGAAAAAACAAAGCTTGCTATTACTTCCAGCACTAGGCGTGAGGGTAAGGAGGGAGAGAGTGAAACAGACGACCTTCTTCCCTGCCCCCCACCTCTCCCCATGATTTGGAGAGGATGAAGATCGAAATATACCAGACACCTAAAGGCCAAACCACAAATAGACTTGGAAGAATGCAGACGGTGCTCTTGGAAAAACCCATTGTCTCTTCCCTCTAGCAGCACGGGGGATAATACTAGACCAGTGTGCTCAATCTCTGGCCCACAAAACGTGTAATCTGGCTCATGGGTCCCCCCATGGATCTGGAAATTTGGTGGTGGTGGAGCATTAATTGCCACTCCCCTGCTGCCAAATTTCCAGACCTGGGGGGAGCCCTGCAGGCTGGATGCCATGGTTCTGCCCAATAGATCTGCCAGTGTGCAGTCAGATTAGACCAACTCTGCAATGCGGACCCAGTGCCACTCATTCAGCCTGTGAGTCTGGAAGGTTGAGCACTGCTGTAGTACACACTCACATGAGGTAACCTGTTAGGAGTGGAGTAGAGAGATCTTGTATATTAACTTTAAGCCCTAACTTTTCATAACTATTTTTACAATCGTCCCTCCTGAATACACAAGGTAGTTCTCCAAGCAGGGATCCCCTGAGAATTGTGTGTGATATGTGTGTGTGTGTGTGTATATGTGTGTGTGTGTGTGTGTGTATATGTGTGTGTGTGTGTGTGTGTATATGTGTGTGTGTGTGTGTGTGTATATGTGTGTGTGTGTGTGTGTGTATATGTGTGTGTGTGTGTGTGTGTATATGTGTGTGTGTGTGTGTGTGTATATGTGTGTGTGTGTGTGTGTGTATATATATATATATATATATATATATATATGAGAGTGAGAGAGGCTACTGTTTGCAATTAGATATCTTAGGGCAGTCTTCTGTTGGTATAGGTTCTGTCTGCACCAGTGACTTTGATTGGAAAGCTATGTCAGTGGCAGGTTATGATCTTTTTTTCACTCTCCAAGCTGACGTGGGTATACTATCAGAGCTTTCTAGTGCAGACCCAAGCCGTACTCTTCTTGTTAAATTGTCTGGACTGTTTTATTAGTTCATGAGGGTCTATGTTTTAAACTACTTCAGGTGCTCTTTGTATTGAATGCCTCCCATGAAACTTTTTTGCTTCTTTATCTGTGATATCTGAATGTCATGGTTACCCTCTGTTGCAGAACTGTGATGAAAGGTTTCAGTACAAATACCAGCTGCGTTCCCACATGAGCATCCACATTGGGCACAAACAGTTCATGTGCCAATGGTGTGGCAAAGACTTCAACATGAAACAGTACTTTGACGAACACATGAAAACACACACTGGTAAGAACATAGCTAAGAAAAGGACAGATGCTACCAGCGCATTAACATACTAGGTTTTCATTTGTATTAATCCCAACAAATTTTGAGGCCATAGTTGGTTTCTGCCTCAGTCAACAGATGAGAGGCTAATGCATTAGCTACTCTTGTCTCCCACTGCCTATATTTCAATGTGCAAAACAAAGGTTGGGTATGGTTTTTTAGTTATTGTGGCTTAAAGGGAACTTACCACAAATATCTTGATACATCAAAATGCAAGAGAAAATTAAGGGCATCTATGAGAGAGCTGCAGTTGTTATGTCTTTATTTTGGTCAAAATTAACATAGTGTTCTTCATACAATATGCAACAGTCACTGCTTATAGCTGAAGTAGGCCCTAATCGACTGCTGCATGTATGTGTCTTACAGGAGAGAAGCCCTTTATCTGTGAAATCTGTGGCAAAAGCTTCACTAGCCGCCCAAACATGAAGAGACACCGCAGAACTCACACGGGAGAGAAGCCCTATCCATGTGATGTGTGTGGCCAGCGATTTCGCTTCTCCAACATGCTCAAGGCCCATAAGGAAAAGTGCTTTCGTGTCACAAGCCCTGTTAATGTGCCACCTGCTGTCCAGATTCCACTAACCACAACTTCTCCTGCTACCACAGTCCCTTCTGTAGTGAACACACCCACCACCCCAACTCCACCAATCAGTCTGAACCCAGTGACCACGCTTCCTCCACGTCCTATCCCCCATCCATATTCACACCTTCACCTCCACCCTCACCCTCACCACCCACACCATCTCCCAGTTCCCCCAGTTCCTCATCTACCCCCACCTCCTGCTCTCTTTAAGAGTGAGCCTTTAAATCATAGAGGCCAGAGTGAGGACAACTTTCTGCGACACTTGGCAGAAAAGAACAATTCAGCACAACACCACTAATATTTTTGCTTCCTGCCACCTGTTTTCCCATTTTATGCATATGGAAACATGTTCTCCTGGAAATTGCAGAGGGAGAGCTGGTGAGGATCTTTCCGTCTATCGCGCCTCCCGGCAAAACATCCTGATATTTCCATGAATCAGTTAACAAACAAGGAAGTTGAATTGGCGGTGGTCATTTGAACCAGAGGAACCAACAGGTCGAAACCCAATTTGCTTGTGTTTTACTGGGGACTTTTTTAAATTTCAAATACTCAGACTTGTGGAATTTTATAATTTCGTATCAGCTGATGAGGTATGCTTGCTTTTATATCCTGGACCTCTCCTCAAAGAGGAGATAGGCCTGGTTTCCTTTGTACTAATCGGAAAGGCTGTGAGATTTAATACAGAGCATTAATTGTATCACTGTGTATCGTAATGAGTTCTTTTCAGCTTTTGGTGCTGGCTATGGAGTGAGCCAGCCACGTATCACAGTATAACAAGCATTATAGAGAAAGACAAAAAAATTCTTGTTTGTGTAGCTCTCCTAACGCACTCTTTATTTTACTACAGAAATTATTTTAGAGTTTTTTGTATAGACCTATTTAGTAGTCTGTTTCTAAAATGAAATGTATTTCAATAAGCAGTGTAATTTTTTCAGTGTAGCTGGACCTATGTTGTATAATAGATAAATTTTTATAATCATCAAAATGTGATTCTTAAAAGATGCATATAGCTTCTATAGATAAAGTTATTCTTACATCCATACAACTCAAAAGGTGCTTCAGAGAAGAGGGGAATCCAAGAAGTTCCTGACAAGGCTTCCTCAGAAGTGGTGTTGATTTCAGAGCTTTCATATAATTTATTTAGTGGGGGGCTTTTTTGTTTTTGTTTTGTTTTTTGTTTTTTGTTTGTTTTTTTTTAAACCTTCCCTTTCCTTTTCCACAGTCTCTTAGGTTTATGGGACAAGGATATTGAGATACCATATTCCTGCTCTGCAGATTTCACTTAGATCAGTTGGACTGAAGTGTGGAATGGGTTAGAAAGGGATACACTCCTTACAAGTGAAGAGATCTAATAGTTCATGAGTTGTGAAGTCACAGGTGAGTGAGAGATCTGACATCAGAGAGGATATAAACTGTCTGAAGCCAGCCAAGCATCTTTTCTCTCTATGTAGGAGAGCCTGGTTTTCATGGCTTTTTTAATGGTATGATTTTAATTTTGGGATCATATCAAATGCTGCTCTTTCAGATTTTTTTTTTTTTAATTCCTGAGTTGTTAGGAGAGGGAAATTATGGGAGTGTCATAAATATGTTTCTGATCGGTTGGTTGTAAGATTGCGCAGACGAGAAATTTGAATGGGAAAATGGTCTTGTTAAACAAAATGCTGATAGCACTGTGTCTATGGTATGAAGCTCTATCCCATAAACATAGTATGTGTATAAAATATGGGATGATTTCTAGGGGTTCATAGTCATGGTTTTTGACAAATTTGTTTTACAGTTATAGGATAGAAAACTTTGAATTTTAGGCATGTCACAGTTTCATAATCTTGGAAGCCACTGAGTGAATGACATTGGCAAGTTTGGTACAGGAATGGTGGGCTGGAAAGCCAAATTATTAGTTTTAACCAGTTGAGTAGCTGTTATTTTTCAGCTTTGTGTTGTTCTTTAACTGAAACTGAGTATAGCAGCATTATGCAGTCTAGGTAATGGTTGCCACCTTCAGTGATGAGACAGGCCCAAGGCCACGTACCTGTAAGTTTTGGGGGTTTTTTAAAATAATTTCCTACTATTTTGTGCTGCTTAATAAATCGACTACCACCCAACTCCACATCCAGAAACCCCAGCAGACAAAAGTCTAACTTGCCATTTTAGTTGTTCCTGAACTGGACTTTTGTGGCTGATACTTCTTCAGTCTTCAAAGTAGCATAAACTGTGGAAATTCTTCCCAGCGTTATTTTCTCAAGGTTAATGCAGTTAAGCATGGTATTTTGAAATACCATGTTCTTGCTCTTTTTGAAATTAGCTCTTTTAATATTTTGAGTTTCTACGATCTGTTAGTTAATGTCATTTCATAAAAACATAAGAAATTTTAGGAACAGAAAAAGGCAGTCTTGGCCCATCATACCTATACATTTTTGACTGAACTTGAACCCCCAGCATTTCTGGAAAAAAAATAAAAAATAATGTTTGTTTTTCTAAAAAAAATAAATAAATGTTTCTCTATAATATTTATATATACCCGATCTTAGAGGTGATAAAGCAAGTTACGAAGGTGAACTTACACTTATGATTACAACTGTTGTATTTACTGTGTCAGGTCTGCCCGGAGGTTCTATGCATTCCACACCATGTTTGCAACCTAAGTTTCTGTGGTGCCACTATTTTATGGTCAGGCCTGTTATTAAATGATTTTTCAATGCTAAAAGAAATCTTAGCAAATCATTTGTATTCCAGTTTTGCAAAATGATTTTCGTCTCAATAAATTTACAGTATTAGGCTACTATTATGTGATGCATAGTAACAGCACATCTTGGGTTTCATTTGATTTTGTTACTAAGTTATATGAACTTCTACTATCCTATGGAAAGAAGTAAAATTGGCTCCCAAAATGAGCTTTCATAATTGCATTCTGAATACGTTTTCATGGTGTATGACCTGTAACTTTGAGAGATTCTCTTTAATCATCTGGGGATAAATTAAAAATGAATCTGATATGTTGTTCTGAAATTCCTGCATTATTGTGCCATAAAAACACAGGCTAGAGTAACAGAAAAGTTTGAGTGGTACACAAATCAGGAAATTCAAAGGAGAGATTTGCCATGGCTACTTGATTATGCCTAAAATAGCTTGATGATTTTATATTAGTATGAATCTTCTTTCACAGGGTTCACACGACACTGGGGAATATGGTAAAACACTTGTCTAATAGTTGCCAATATATGTGAAGAAACTAAGCATAAATGTATGTATTAGCTTTAATGCATGAGTGTCCTTTAGTTTTCTAAAGAGTTTCCTAGGGTATACTAACAGTTGTTACTGACACTGTAATAGGCCTTTTAGGCACTTTTACAGTGACAGAAAAATACTAAATTTTAAGAGTTTCGGCCCAGAGGAAATACAGGTGGCAGTCCAGGAATGGAAGTTGTTTGCATTAATAAAATCTGTTTTGAGTTACAAAAGTATAAAGCAAAACTTCTAAATTTGGTTTGCTGAGGATCTTTCTCTTGAGTTGTAGATCGGTAACTTGTTTTCAAATTTCTAAGGATTTAGCAAATGTGGGCTGTGTGTGTTTGCTTTTTTATTCGAAACACGGCCACTTATTTTTACATTGTCATTTAAAATAAGCATGGTTGTAGTTGAGCCTTCCAAGGAGCAGTTTCTCAGGTGTTGTAAATCATCATAGCTCCATTCAAGCAACCGGAGCAAAGACAGTTTACATCAGCTAAACATTTGCAGTCAAGTCATGACATTTCTGGCATGTTTATTCACTCTTTCTAAGTCCAACACACTGAACTTGAGTTGGGCGAAAAAACTAGACTCTAGATCAGATTTGTTTTACAGACTTTTAAACATATAATTTAAAAGAGAAAATTACCAGAGTTGACAAACACTAATTACCACACAAAATAAACTAACTTTCGTTTAAGTGTTAGTATGTTTGCAAATAGCAGCAGCAATGACAGCTGGGTTTTTTTAAGTGTAAATTTGTAGCTTAGGAAAAATTTAAAACCTGCTAGGAATGGGGACAGATCTTTATCGTTATGACAAACAACAGAAGTGTAAGCATCCCTATGCTGAGTTTTTGCTGATGAGAAAAGAAGCATTCGGGATGAGAGAACAGCTGTCACCATGCCTATTTAGGAGATTGTCTTTTCTGTTGGTCCGGGTGACAAAAGTAGTAATTAGTGGTCAGTCTTGGTCTTGGTGGACTGATGATTACATCAGAAGCTATCCTCACATCTAGCTGTAACAATTGCTATGAATCCCTGAACAGCTGTAAGGCTATAATAATTCTTGATTTTGTGTTGTAAGCCAAATTCAAGCTTGGGTCCTATGGAGGAAAATGGACCAGGCCTAAGCAGTACAGTCTTTGATGGACGCCATCTCTTTCTTAGCATTCCATATATGACTTACTGCATATAGCCCTTATCTATGAAAGTCTTTGCTTTTTTTCCTTGTTGTAGTTTGTTGATCTTGTACCAGTTATTGGTGGGGGTTCCTGTTTGGTAAAAAAGAGAAGGAGGTAAAGCTGAAGTTATATCATTTAAAGCACAAAGCACTTCCATTTATCATCCTCCGTTCTGTTTTTTCCAAGTAGTTGAGCAACAAAATATAACTCTGAGCCAAAAATGATCAATACTTTTAAGACCCTTAATTTTGCTCCCTACCCCTTGACAGTACAAATAGTATTATTATTCGTGGCTCAGATACAAACTATTATTTGTATTGTATGTATTCTTAAGTGTTTTTCAGAGTGCTATGTCATATTAACTGGTGTTGTTTGGACTCGGGTAAAATATTCCTGCATTAACCCAGTTAATTTGATTACATACGGAGTGTAAAGGTACAGTAACATGCCCTTGATGCAAAAGTGGTGAGGGACCTTGTGATAAAACAGTATGTAATTTTTAATGAGCCACTTGAGTTTACTAAATTAATAATGTGAAACTTCCTAGCTCTTGGGAATGTAGCCCAGACTCGTTTAAATGTTTGTTTTATGGTTTAATTTCCATTCCCTAATAGTTAAAATAAATAAATAAATAAACTTGTTGAACTGTAGTTTTACCCACTGATATGGAGCATTTTATCTGTAAATAGAGCTTAATTAAGCTTCTGTCTTTAAAAAGCTGTTTAAAAAGATACACAGGACACACATTTACACAAGAGATCATTAAGGCCAGTTAAGTAAATACATGTGGCAGTTTCCATTAACAAATATTAAGAAACCTTATAGGCAAAGAACAGAATGCTTGGAGCTTTTTTCAGCCTATAATGTATTGAGGTATAAGATGTGAGTGATTTTTTTTTTTTTT